GGGGGGGGGGGGGGGGGCACATGCATCTCCATGCCCCACTATGCGTCCCCTTCTCCAGAGCTACAGGGGAGATACCAAGCCAGAGAACAGGATCTTGGCAGGCTGCTATGTGCACAGCTCTCAGCACAGGTGCTGCTGGGTAAAGATTCAGTGCCCGTGTCCAACGCCCACCAGAACCCAGCACCAGGATCTCTTACATGATACATCCAACTCTGGGACTGCCCCTCTGGGTGGCCCACCTCTGCCTCAGTTTCCCCGTCTCTGGAATGGGAATAATACCCTGTCTCCCCTCCACAGAGCACAGTTAGCATTTGTGTAGCATTTTGTACATGCACCATATTATGACAACCCCTAAGGATTATTATTAGTCTTTCTAATTTTTGTGAGTATTGAATTAATAAAGTCTCCTCACACTGCAGAGACGCGCCATCCCCTCACCACCCAAGACAGAGGGGGAACTATGGCACCAGGATGAAAAAAAACATTGCAAGGAGTCAGGGGCAGACTCTGGGAGTCCTGTCTCCCAATCTGCTGCTCTAGCCACTAACCAAGCTGTTCCTTGGTTCTGCTCTGATGATAAGTCCCCATGGCATGGAGGTAAACTAGAGACTCAGTCAATGTGTCACTCTGCAAGGGGAGCTGCCAGGGCAGCTAAGTTATGCTTTAGCTCCCAGCCAGCGGACACTGCTTGGATCCAGCCAGCTGCCGAGATCAGTAATGGCTGGGGGGGAGAAGAAAGTAATTCTTCTCTTCCACCCACTGAAGATTGCTTGGCAATATAATCTTTCCCTAATGATCCTACTTAACTAAATTCCTGGCTCCACTGGCTGAAGCCAGCGGTTAAGGAGAGAGTTGTCAGGGTGGCAGGGAAGAAAGCCAAGATGAAAGGGTTCAGTGAGCAGCCCCCAAGCGCTCCAAGACCCCCTCTCACTGGGAAAGCGATATACCATGCTAAGAGCGGTTAATTAAAGAGGGGTAATGTGATGAAGGTGGGAAAGGGGAATACAAGACTTAACCCCGACTAATTAGATTACATCACTGCCACTGATGCCCACCAGCCTTCGAGTGCTACAGACCCTTCTGCTTCAGTAACAAGGAGAAATGCAAAGAGACTCAAGCAGCGAGGATGCAAAGGGCATCGTGAGACCTTGATACTGCAGCCCAGGAAGACATCTGAAGTGACCTGGAAGGGGCTGCCAAGAGCTCTGATGGAAGGAAGGAAGAAAGGATCTGGAAGCATGCACATACAGTCTGTTCTAACCCACGGTGGGGCGGCCACAGCATAGATGGCCTCGTCCAGCCTCTCTCAGTTTGTCCATCAACTGTGGACAGCTCAAGTTAGGCACAGCCACAATCAGTGGCTTGGTCTGAGCCTACCCAAAACACCCTCTGCTCTCACTAACTTTATTAAAGGCTGTGGGTTGTTCAGCACTTCAAAAAACCACACGAGGACCCTGGTCTAGCAAAGCACTTGGGCATCTGCCTAAATCTGAGGCAGTGACTGGTCTAACCAAAATGAACAGGAATTAGGCCCTTTTAGCTTCTCATATGTTATGCTTTCAAGTTGCACCCGTTTATAGAGTGGTAAATTATAGCACTGTTTAAAGTTTTCTTTATATTCAGCCTAAAGTTCTGTATAGCCTCATTCTTACCCGAACTTTTCATTTTGCTGGTGTTTGCAGTATCAGCTGGCCTTGTTTCCTGCAAGCAGCTTATGCCCTTGAGTTTGCTCGCATGAGGTTTCTTTCCTTTTTCTTTCACTGTGAGAAGTTTTTCTAACACAACATAGTAATAAGGTTTGTTACTAGCTCAGATTAACTGAACTTGGCACTAATCAGCTGAATCAGAGGGATGAAATGATTGGATATGTTAATGAAAGGTGATAAAGGAGACCAGTGGACAATGCTTAAAGTAAAACACTGGAAAAGGGCAAAATTAAGAGGTGTGCTTGTAGTGGGGATGTTGAACAAAGGAGTATGCTGATAGGATAAAATATGAACAATATGCTGACTGCAGATAGACCAATCCAAAAGCAAGGAGTCATCAAAGGAGTCAAGTTAAAGAAAAGCCTAAAAGGGGGAAGCAAGAAAGCTCAGTGTTGTCATCGTCATCTTCATCATCATCATTTACATCATGAATCCAGCTTTCAACACCTGTCTGGATCATCCCAGCCACCGACGCACCCTTTGCTTCAGGAACTGAGAGACAAAGTAATATCTGGGATTGGGTGAGATCCTTGTACTAAGTGTTTTTTCTCTCTCTGAATATAGAAACTGCTGAGATAATACTTAACTAATAAAGTAAGACTTTGATTTTAGGACACTGTGTTGTCGGTGTTCAAATTTCACGTTCCATTTAAGAGTTAATTGTGCTTTAACAATCCCTAAGCACTATCTGCTGGTCCGTTGTGTGAACAGCCCACGTGGAAGCACTTTGCTTGGTATAAGTCCTCAACTGGCTCCCTGGGCCTCTCTAAGGACACACCAGGGGCACAAGGTGTAAACTCCCTTGTCTCCACTGTGCAATACAGGTTGCTTCTGAGACCATCCCTAAGCAGAGAGACTCTTAGTTTAACATCAGGAGGATTCACTCTGGTGCATTTTTCCCACCATGTCCCTCACAGGAGGGAGAAGGGGAGCTGCTAACACCTTCCCCATGGTGTGAGGGAGCCCCTATTTCACGCAGCTGAGAGCAGTTAGGTCAGTTGTGCTGTCCTAGGGCCAAGGCAGGAGGGACACCTGTTACACACTTGTTAGCCCATTGCCCAGGCAGCTTTTTACATGTCTGAGAGAAGCACAAGATTCAGATACTTCTCCCTGGCGGGGAATGTCTCAGGAGGGTTTCCATGGCCCTCATTGTTTTATCCTCTCTGTGCAGGAGGTCAAGCTTTTTGTGGCTGCAACGAGATCCTTCCACCAGCCGGCTGGGGTCTACAAGGGACCTTGCACTCGGAGGCTCACCGGAGCCCGCAGCACATGACGGGGAGAATAGCATGGACAAGAGGGACCGAGCGTGAGCTGTGAGCACTTCAGTCACTCACGAATCTTGCCTACCTTGGCTGCTTCTCCTTCAACAGCATGTGAGGTCTTCTCCAGGGGTCCTTGAAGTCCCTTTTGTAGGAATCAGGCAAAATCTTAGCCACCTCTGCCAGAAAAAACAGCAAAGGCAAGAAATTAAGAAACTCAACAGCAGGGAAGGTCACTCACCTGGAGACACAGAAAGGAGCTGATTTGAGCAGAGGGTGCCTGTGAACCAAAGGTCCCACCAAGGCTGGGGGACAGTGAGGGACACAGATCAGAAGGGAAAGCTAACACACCTGTGGCTGAACTAGAAAAAGTAATGGTGACATTGGGCCTGATCCAGAGCCCAGAGATCCCAGTGGGAGCTTTTTCCATGACCTGAGTTTGGATCTGGCCCCGTTTCATTATTAATAATGCCGCCCAGCATAAGAACAAGCTGCTATTTGCAGCCAAGAATCACAGAACATTGCACAAGGCGGGATGTCGGGAAACGGAGGAGGGGAAAGAATGAGCAACTGGCCTAGTGTCACACAACCAGTCGGTGGCAGGGCCCAGACTTACACCCAGTGCTTGCAACTCCAATTCCTGCTCTGACAATTAATGACTATTTCTCAGCCAACCAGTCGGAAGAGACTGATCTCAACAGTGGTCATTCCCGAGACAGTAGGCTGCTGCTCAAACACGAGTCCATTAACCTTAGTGTAAATAGGGTAACAGTGCTTCCACGTATTCATGCAACACTGAAACAAAGACTGGATTGACTTCAGCAGAACCCACTTTCCCCATATTCCTGATGGGGCTGATCACAGTCATTCCTATGGCAATGTCCAGCAGGATAGGAGATAAACAGGACTGTAACGGGTTCAGGTAAAACTCTGAACTACATGCACTTGTATGCACAGCTGAAAGGGGTGGGACATGTTTGTGAAGATGAGTGTGGACTTTGGCCAGATTGGGACTAACTTAGTTTATCGTTGCAATCTTTAACTGTAGCCCACAAATTCTTTAAAGGTGTTTAAGCAGAAAAAAAGATAAAGTGCAGGCTTTGATAAAACCTACAGGGGTGTATGTTGTAACTATGTTTGTCTAAGGACATAGGCAGACAAGGTTCTTTGGGTGAATCTGATATCTTTTATTAGACCAACTTAAATAGTTGGGGGGAAAAAAAACATTTTTAGCAAACTTTTGGGTTTAAAAACCTGTCATCAGGTTGAGCTTCTTTACAATTCATTCCATCTAGGAAGAGCACACACCAACTGCAGAGACTTCCTCAGCCTGACAAAGGGTTTTTAAATCTGAAGGCTTGCTAAAAAATTTTTTTCCAACTATTTAAGTTGGTCTAATAAAAGATGTGGATGGGTCATACTCGACCTGGGGGGAGGTGGGTAGCAGAGTCCCCCAGGGCTCGGTCCTGGGGCCTGCGCTGTTCAATTTCTTCATCAGCGATCTAGATGATGGGGTGGAAAGTAACCTGTTTAAATTCGCTGATGACACCAAAATTTGGGGGGAGGCGAGC